GCAAGATGTTTAAAGGACAAAACAATGTCTGGTCAACAGCCAAAGGTGCTGACACAGTGGACAAACTCAGTGAGGGGGAGGCAATTTTCCAGTCCAGTCTGGAGCTCATTTTCCTCTCTGCTGTCTTTCTTTTGGGTCTCCATCCCAATGATCCTTACACGCTTACACTTACTAACTTTTAAAGAAATTTATCTGGATGTTTTCAAATGTTATGTTTAAAAAAAAAAACCTCCAGTTGTCATCTGTTCAGACTGCATCCAGTCAGAGCACATTAGCTATGCTTGTGCATGTCAACAGGGCAGCAAACTTGTCTTCATGCAGAGCAGGCTGAGCCTGAGCGCAGTCACTTGTTTTCAGGACCACTTTGCTTCACCGTGCATTTTAACAAGAACAGTTTTTAGAACATAATGCATGCAATTAAAACCTAGTTCACCTTCAAAAAAACAGAAGAGATTTATTGCTTTTATAAGACTAATCTACAGCTATCCTCCAGAGCTCCTCTGCTTCTAATGTCTTAGATGTAAAAGGCGTCTGGAGGTTGTTTAGTGGAGTTGCTGGAGTTAATGTTAGAGCAGAGTGGGGCGCCAGACTTTGGTGATAGTCCAGATCTGATTACACAATAACACTGAGCAATGACCCACACATAAAAATACCCTCCATGGTAGTGTCTTGGTAGGTACGTTGCAGACTCACACCCACATGTTACAGCTGTGCATCGTCACAAGGAGTTAGTGTCAAAAATGTGTGAAAATACAGTAACGTTGGCCACTCATGTTCACAGTGTTGATCCTTTATTCTGCCTCTGATAAACAAGAAGACAGAAGTCAGAATAGACAAAGAACGTCTTTGTAGTGAAGCGAAACAAGTTAATAAGAAAACTCAACTGAGGCCACTGTCTGTGCTTCTCATCAGCGCTTTCTGAATATTAAATGTTTTCTTGTTTGGACTTTATCCTCTTGTGTTCAAGCTGACCTTTCTACCAATCAGCACCCTGCACATGGCAGAGTACAGACTTTTGGCTTTTAGAGGATTTCACCCAAGCATGTTTCCCACAGATAACACTTGACCCATATTGGCCAGTGACAGTTGCTCGGGTATATTCTGTGATTTCAGTTCATTTCTCCATCTGTCTAATATGATGACATGATTGATTTACTAATGGAAAACCCCCTCACTCTCATTATGCACTGTAAAAATGACACGAAACATCGAGCTTGGTTCAAATGCTGCAAATTTGTCCAGTGAAATTACGCAGTCAGTGTAAACGGCTCCATTAAAAATGAGAGGTCGGAGAAATATTTTTAATGACAGAAATATTTGCACAGATTTTACACGCCTGGTGTGAAAAGGCCTTTATTTTGAAAGTTCAGTCGCTGTAACTAGCTAGTTCTAGTCCATCTTGCATTCCCCTGCAGGCAAGCAGACGGGGTTGTTTTTGTGGTAATCGGACAATTTACACATTCTGGTTACAGTCCCATGCAAACCAATGCAAAAAGATACCCACATACTATAAATTGTGCATTAGCTGAAGGTGCTGCAATTATTTCTGAATAGTCTACACCAGCGGTCCCCAACCCCCGGGCCTCAGACCGGTACCGGTCCATGAGTCGTTTGGTACCGGGCCGCGAGAGTTGAGGCTCAGGTGTGAAATGTATAGTTTTCAGGGTTTTTATCGGTTT